CGCGCGGGGCAAAGCAGCGGCGCTGGCCGGCGCTGGCCGGCACAGCCGCGCTGGCCGAAACAGCCGCGCTGGTGACCGTGGAGCACCTCTGCCCGGGAATTTCCTAGTCTGTGGGCAATAAAGACACGGCGTCCACTCACCCTCCGCGCTTTCACTGGGAGCTGCAATCCTGAGCTGTTCCTAAACGGCCATCTTGGATCCACCCGTCCCGAACTCATTTTTTATGGCTGCATAGTATTCCATGATGTATATGTGCCACATTTTCTTTATCCAGTCTATTGTTGATGGACATTTGGGTTGGTTCCAGGTCTTTGCTATTGTAAACAGTGCCACAACAAGAACAGAAAACCAAACACCGCATGCTATCACTCATAGGCGGGTATTGAACAATTAGAACATGTGGACACAGGGAGGGGAGAATCACATACTGTGGTCAGGTTGAGGGAGCTAGGGGAGGGACAATGAAGGGTGGGGAGGGTTGGGAGGGATAATGAGGGGAGAAATACCAGATATAGGTGATAGGGGGATGAAGGCAGCAAATAACCTTGCCATGTATGTACCTATGCAACAATCCTGCATGGTCTGCACATGTACCCCCGAACCTAAAGTACAATAAAAAAGGGGGAACTAAACCATATTGCTCCACTATAGGAGGTACCTCGATGGCTTCCCATTGTACTTTAGCTAATCCTAAATCCTTATAATCATATAAAGCCTTGCTTGATTGAACTCTGTCTCATTCTTCAAGTTCCATTATGACGTAATTACTCTTTGGTACAATCTGCTGCAGTCCCACTGGTCTTCTGTCAGTCTGGACATGCTAATCCCAATCTGGCTGCAGAGCCCTAGGTGTTCCTTCTGCTTGGAATGCTCTTTCCAAATTCTCTTTCTCACTGCTCCTTTTCATCTTCCAGACTCTGTCTTTCAGTCACTTTTCAATGATACCTTCCTTGACTGCTCTATATAAAGTAGGCTGTACCTATACCTCTCTATCTCATCACCTTGCTTATTTCCTTCATAGGACCATCCTGATTGTAAGTATTTTCTTTGTTTTATCTTGTAATTATTTTATTTTTTAACTATTTGTTTTATTTTGTAATTATTGTACTTGTTTAGCACCTAATATGATGCATAATATTTGAAAGAAGCTCAACTGATACCTGTTGAAAGAAGGAATGACTCCATGTTGAATGTATTTGTTTCAGAATGACAAATAACAAACTGCATGTGGTTTTGATGTAGATGTGATGGCTTTAGTAGCATGATCAATCAGATTCTCAACTAAGGTAAAAAGGAACATAGACCATTAGATTGATACAGATGACATAAGGACCTGCCCTATTCAATACCTTTGATAGTAAATTGCATGAAAACTAGAAAACATGCTTTTTGAGTCTATATATGACACGGAACCAGGAGAAGTAGCTGGCATCCTGGAAGACAATAAGAACCTGGGTGATGTCAGGTAACTAAAGTGACATCAGAGTTGAAGCTGGGAAGATGCTATTTAAACTAATATGGGCAAATGGAAGTCTTGTGCTCAGGGAACCTTCTCACTACAAACAAGAAGGGGAAGCACTGAATGACTAATGATTGTGAAGTGTAGTCATCGTGGTTAGGGAGGACTCATACAACTCATTTACTTCCCTGCCTACTGTGACTAAGGCTGGTTCCTGCCTATAAGGAATTCACAGTAATACTTTTAGCTACAATAGTTGAGGTGCAGCCTCCAGATACAGGTTGTTCATGGCCCATGGTAGCCTGTCATCCCAGGGACCTCACATGGATCAGGGTGTCCACTTCTGGGAGTCAATTTGGGAAATGTGTTCTCAGCCTAGATGGTTTTCAGAGATGAGACAACTTAGATGTCTAGAAGCCTAAAAAGCTAGAACACCTGATAAAGCATGGTGAAGAGAACTGGTGCTGTATGACCCAAAAGATAAATTATTTGAGAGAGCCAAAAGGCTGTCTTCAAATATTTTCACTGTGCTATGTAATAACTGGTATAATCACTCCAGGACTAGTCTGAGTGACAGGGCTGGGATGCACAAGCGGAAGCCACAGGAGGCAGATTCCGCCTCAAGGTACACTGTGCTCTAAGAAGAATTAATAGCTTTTCTACGATCTCATAAGAGGACAGACCATCCAGCAAAGGGGTGAGCCATTGTGGCAGGCACGTGCAAGCATGTTCAGCATGACTTCATAAAGTACAGAGAAAGAATACGTGTGCCATGAAAGGTCGGTGTCTCTAGTCCCTTCCAACTCCAAGGGCAGTGATGCTAAGCCAAAGGAGAGCCCACCAAGGTCCAAACAGTATAACCATATATTTAACATCTGTTAGAGCAGAAGTTAAGCTACTTTCATATTTGTGTTAAGATTTACTTTTGTGCACTTATACTCTATGGAACCTGTGGAGTTGGTGAGTGCAGTATTCTTCACAAAGCTTTTTCATTAGCATTGATCAGGCTACCTGGCTGGTGTTCATATATGAATAAAAACAAGTACTGGCTGGGCGTGGTGGCTCATGCTTGTAATTCCAGCAATTTGGGAGGCCAAGGCGGGTGAGACCAGACTGAGCAACATAGTGATCCCTTGTATCTACAGAAAAAAAAAAGAAAAATGTTTTAATTAGCTAGATGTGGTGGTGTGTGCCTGCAGTCCCAGCTGCTTGGGAGGCTGAGCCGGGAGGATGGTTTGAGCCCAGGAGTTTCAGGCTGCAGTGAACCATGATCATGCTTCTGTATTTCAGCCTAGGCAACAGAGTGAGATCCTGTCTCAAGAAAAAAGAAAAGAAAAAGAAAGAAAAAGACATTCAGTTCTGTTTATATATACACTAAATGCCATTCTCCTCTGCTATATCCTGTAATAGCAGAGGAGATTTTAGACACTTAAATAATAAAAATTATTAAATTGGGAATCTTTTTCTAATGAAAGGAAACTATGATTGTGTACTTTTCTGGCAGCCTTTAATACTTCTTACTAGCAATCCCTCTCCCTCCAACACACACACACACACACACACACACACACACACACACACACTCCTCATGTGGGTTCTTTTGAGTCAATTGATGATATAGTTGAAGGGCATTACCTGACATCTTCAACCCAGCATTCACACTTAACTTGCCCTGGTAAAAATGTTTTTATTAATAGCCTAAAATTTTAATGAGGGCCCTATCTTTAAAAAATATGTATCCACTTCTCCTTTTACACTAAATTTATAATGAGCCTTTGGGAAATTTCTGAAGTTCTTACACACGTATTAATTCCCATTAATTAACTTAAAGGCTAAAATGCAAATAAAAGTAGTTTTGGTCTTTAGAAAGGGCAGGGCTCAGAGTAAAAGAAGAATGCCTGACTCAGGATATTTTCTGTGCTTTGGTGAGCTGCTGTCTGATTCTTGATTCGAGCTCCCTGCTATTGGACTACAAAACTTAAGCAAGTTTCCCAAGAAGCTGAGTCTATTTCTCCATAGTAGCATGCCAGGAGACACATGGAGTGACAGAAAGACCATACACAGGCCAAGTTCAAATCCCAGCTATATCTTACATGACCTTGCTTATACAAGTTACTTATTTCAACATAAAGTAAAGAGATACATCACAAAAGCAACATAACTCAGCAGTTAATGGTGGCTGCAAAGACATTTTCCTGATTCCTTCTTTAGCTACCTTCAGAAATATCAAAGAGATCCCCATAGCTCCATTTAAGAATAAGCAAAACTGACATTACTCCCACTTTGGACTGAAGAAAATGCAGGAAAAAAGTCAAATAATTTCTCCCAAACATAAAGTTCTGACATGCCTGAAATATTATTTTGGAAAAAAACACAAAAAGCAAAATCAGCTATTATGTCCATGATGCAAAGATGCTATAAATGTTTCCCTGTGTCTTGAGATCACTGGAAAAGGAACTGCAGCAATGTACTTGCTCAGCAACAAGCCCCTCCCCAAATGCACAGCCACACAAGCATTACTCAGCCGTTACATGAGGACACATGGCCAAGACAGAGTCTGAACTTGGCATTTTAAAGCAGATGCTTGAGCTGTAAAAACCTTGCCTTCAGGATAATAGCCTCATGGAAGGGGGATGTCGGCAGGCATTCTTCATCATCTGCCCTCCGAACACTGTGGCTCTCTGATTGTCCTACAGGTAGCTCTGCCACATGAGGGGAAGTAATTATGTGCCCAAGGAAGACAGAGAATGCACTCAGAATACATATAAAATGTGAAGGGATTACAAGGCATATTGCTGTGTTAGAACAAGTCTCTGGCAATCTACTCTGTCGCCATGCAGGTGGCCTGGCATGGCCCAGTGGGTTGCAGCAAGGAGACAAAGGGCTTTCACTGCTTTACTTTGGACCCAGAGAAAAAGCAGGCAGGAGAGAGAAGAAAGAGGAAGACGAGGAAACTGAAGGTTTTTTTTTTTTAATGGAAAGTAGCTACAAGTTAAAAGAGTGCTTCAGGAACACAAGGGAAAAGGAAGACGTATACTAGCTTAATTAATAGAATTCAGATGAAAGAAGGGTGAAGTAATTAAATATTCATTATAGATCCTATGAAACTATGATAGAAAACAAACTCTCAATCAAAAGATGCATTGGAGAAACAAAAACTTCAAAAATTAAGAATTTGGAGGAAACAAGAAAAAATGAGCAAGTTGTTCAAATTGAAATGCCAATGTGACAAAGTGCGCCACAGGCTTTACATTTATTTGACTGATTTGCAAGTGGAAGAGCAGAGGTTTGTAAAAGTAGATACTGTGGTCTCTAGTAGATATTGTAGATAAAAACTAGACAAGAGATATGTCTGTGTTTAATTCAGTTTACTCCTTGATGAATAGAAAATTTCAGAATGCAGGAGATGCCAAACAGAGCACAGGAATAAAAATAATGATGATAATAACAATTATAAAAATAGCCAGCATTTTGATATTATTAAAAAGTCAAAAAACCAACAGGTGTTGGTGAGAATGCAGAGAAAAGGGAATGTTTATACACTGTTGGTGGGAATGTCAATTAGTACAACCAGTATGGAAAACGGTTTAGAGATTTCTTAAAGAACTAAAAATAGAACTACCATTTGATCCAGCAATCCCACTACTATGTACCTAGCCCAAGGAATAGAAATCATTATATCAAAAAGACACCTGCATATGTATGTTTGTTGTAATACTTTTCACAATTAAAAAGTCACAGAATCAACCTAAGTGTCCATCAGCAGATGAGTGGATTTTAAAATATGTATACATATGCCATGGAATACTATGCAGCCATAATAAAAAGAAGAAAATCATGCCTTTTGCAACAACATGGTTGGAACTGGAGGCCATTACGCTAAGTGAAATGACTCAGAAACAGAAAGCCAAAAACTATATTTTCTCATTTATAAGTGGGAGCTAAACAATGGGTACACACAAACACACAAAGTGGAATAAGAGACACTGCAGACTCCAAAAACAGGGAGGATGGGAGGGGATTGAAGCATGAAATACTATCTATGGGGTATGATGTACACTATTTGGGTGATGAGTGCACTATAAGCCCAGACTTCACCACTATACAATATACCCATGTAATATAACTGCACTTATAACCCCTAAATCTATAAAAAGATAAATAAAAATAGCCAACATTTTGTAGAATATTTTCAGGTGTCTGGCAGTATACCAGGCACTTTAAATTTATTATCTTGTTTATTCCTTATTAATACACTAAGAAACAGGCTCTATTGTCAACCCATTTCACATGTAAGGTAAAGGAGATTCAAAGAGATACACTTGTTCAAGGACACAAAATTATTATGTGACAGGGAAAATATCTGAATCCAATATTTGCTTGATTTTTGTGTTTGAGCCAATAAAATTTATATAAATGTTCAATAATTGTACTCAGGCCATTTAAATGCAATCAGCCAATTATCTCAGTGGCGATTTATTCAATCCAAGCTACACACCACATCACATGTTTAAAATAAATGTGAAAATATCTGTTACCTGGCATATGGAAGTTTTTTATTCTGGGTCTCATTAAGCCAGTCCAAAATGTTTCTGTACATCCAGCTAGAAATATCCAGAAATGCTTGACACCATTCACAAAGAAGCTTTGGCCCAGCCAATAAGAACCACCTTTGGAATGTGTCTTAAGCTTCCCTTCAAAAGCTCTTTAGGTACATGTATTTTTAAAATAATAATAGTTTGGGGGGGAAAATAATATTTTTTTCAAAAGACATACTCTTAAAATAATAGATTAACTTAACTCTAAAAACTTATCACACTTATGAGAGAAGAGTGGGTGGGGGCATCTAAAAGATGGGCTGAGACACCGAGTTATGAATTTATATTTTAAAAGATTGAGAAAGATTTTCTTTGATTTGCATTTTTATCAGAGCTAATTGATGCTTTGGAAAACTCAGAGTATTTCAAAGAGCCAGCTTTTTTACATCCAGGCAAATGCTCTCATGTTTTTTTCCAGATCTCTCAGCCACATCTCTCCAGCCCTCATAAGACATTAATATGTAATCTCTACTGAGCAAAGGATCCAGTCATATCGTGAGTCACAGCACTATAGTAACACAGCTACTTATTGGACAGGAGGATTGATCTCCCTCCTCCCACCTTCCCAATGGTTGCACTTGGGAATTTACTATTTCTACAAATCAAAGAGAAGTATTTGTGAATTGTGGTGTTCTCAGTGCGCATTCGACTCTGAGAGAAAGAAAAGCATTCTCCCCTCCCATGATAACCATCAATAATCTCAAACTGATTCAAAATAATCTCAAAATAATTCAACTTCTACCTGTCTGCACTTTCTTCTGGAGCCAAAAATAAATAAATACATTAACCTGGTCTGTTAAATTAAGCAATAAAATATACTCAGGCCTTCCTCCTTCTAGTTTAGCTTATGCTTTCCCCTAAGTATTTGCTTATCATTTACTTCAGTGTTTTAGAAGCTCACATAGAACAACCACCCAAAAATTTCTACAAAAATAAATAGCTATAATAGGGAAAAAATTTTTTCCTGAGATTTCAGAAATCTAAGTTCTCTTTGATGTTCCACCCACAATGTTCAGTAATTCATCACACCCCTTTTTTTTTCCTGATTATATATAGTTTTAATACCCTGAGAAATAAAAGTGCTGAACTCTGTCTGATATTTTACTGAACTCCTGAACTATTCTGAATTAAGTATGACAGATGCCCTAATGCTTGAGCTAGGGAGGTTGTTCTTTTAGTTCAGGCATGGAACATTTCCATTAAAAACGAGAGACCTCAGTTCTAACATTGGCAATGCATTCTCCACATGATTAATTATTCTTATGTGCACTGCAGTCTATTAGGGAAATGTCAGCATGCCTTAGGATGCAGACACCTTCACAGGGATTGTTTTGCCTACTTTATCCTCCCTGATGTCTTCATCCAGCAAAATAAAGAATCACATCTTCTGTACTTTTATTTCAAATATTTTTTAAAGATTTTATGACCTTTACATTTTAAATTGTGTTTCTATTCAAAACTATTATCTTGAATAATTCTATATTTGTATTACCCAACTGGTTGAAGTATAAAAACTTACAATTTAAAAATGCAATAGTAAAATCTAGGACAATCATTTAGAAATATTTCAGAAAAAACAAGTATCACGTAGTTTTTGTCATTTGAGGGTCATTATGACTTTTCTATTTATGTATTTGTATTTTTATGTATTTCTCCATATATGTTTCTATTTCCGTAGACACATGATATGCTTTGTATATACCCATGGGTCATTAAACTATTTTTTAGAACTTTTGTCTATTTGGTTTCAGGGTTTCTATTTATACTTCAGAAATATATTATTGAACCCCAGGGGAAAAGGACAACTGGTGATCTCTTCACATATTAGATGTGAGAGTAAAAGTTTTACTGTATGTTTGATATCGTATTTACAAAAAGGTAAGCATTTAAGTAGGGTAATATTAATAGTTTTATAATTGAGTTGGTGAACAAACTCACTGCATCTCCTAATCTAGTTCTCATTCTGGAATGCAAAAACTGCATCTATAGCCAGCACAGAAACATACAAAAATACATTTTTTTAAAACTTTTATCTTGCTTCTTGAAATTCCTTTCTAGTGGTGACGCTCAATAATTTGATTTCCTTGCCAAAACTGTGTACAAGGTATAAAGTCTATAGACACTTGTACCATCTTCTCTTTATTTTGGATAATATATCTAATTTCTTTTAAAAGTATTTAAACTACTTGTTTTTTAAAAATTAAGTTTTGAAGTTCTTAGATTGTGACTCCTACTTATTCATATTTTGTTGATGAGAGAGGAAAGGGAAAAAGAAGGAAACAGGAGGAAGAGGGGCAACACATTATCATTTATGAAGAATGATTATGTACTAGGCACTGTGCTAGGTGCTTTCTACAAATTATCTCTAGTGCTCCCATCAACCCTTTAAGGAAATGGTGACTCAGGAAAGTTAACATATATGTCAGAAGTCACAGCGCTGCTAAGTGGCAGAGTTGAAATGATCTCTTCCCACATTCTGNACACACACACACACACACACACACACACACACACACACTCCTCATGTGGGTTCTTTTGAGTCAATTGATGATATAGTTGAAGGGCATTACCTGACATCTTCAACCCAGCATTCACACTTAACTTGCCCTGGTAAAAATGTTTTTATTAATAGCCTAAAATTTTAATGAGGGCCCTATCTTTAAAAAATATGTATCCACTTCTCCTTTTACACTAAATTTATAATGAGCCTTTGGGAAATTTCTGAAGTTCTTACACACGTATTAATTCCCATTAATTAACTTAAAGGCTAAAATGCAAATAAAAGTAGTTTTGGTCTTTAGAAAGGGCAGGGCTCAGAGTAAAAGAAGAATGCCTGACTCAGGATATTTTCTGTGCTTTGGTGAGCTGCTGTCTGATTCTTGATTCGAGCTCCCTGCTATTGGACTACAAAACTTAAGCAAGTTTCCCAAGAAGCTGAGTCTATTTCTCCATAGTAGCATGCCAGGAGACACATGGAGTGACAGAAAGACCATACACAGGCCAAGTTCAAATCCCAGCTATATCTTACATGACCTTGCTTATACAAGTTACTTATTTCAACATAAAGTAAAGAGATACATCACAAAAGCAACATAACTCAGCAGTTAATGGTGGCTGCAAAGACATTTTCCTGATTCCTTCTTTAGCTACCTTCAGAAATATCAAAGAGATCCCCATAGCTCCATTTAAGAATAAGCAAAACTGACATTACTCCCACTTTGGACTGAAGAAAATGCAGGAAAAAAGTCAAATAATTTCTCCCAAACATAAAGTTCTGACATGCCTGAAATATTATTTTGGAAAAAAACACAAAAAGCAAAATCAGCTATTATGTCCATGATGCAAAGATGCTATAAATGTTTCCCTGTGTCTTGAGATCACTGGAAAAGGAACTGCAGCAATGTACTTGCTCAGCAACAAGCCCCTCCCCAAATGCACAGCCACACAAGCATTACTCAGCCGTTACATGAGGACACATGGCCAAGACAGAGTCTGAACTTGGCATTTTAAAGCAGATGCTTGAGCTGTAAAAACCTTGCCTTCAGGATAATAGCCTCATGGAAGGGGGATGTCGGCAGGCATTCTTCATCATCTGCCCTCCGAACACTGTGGCTCTCTGATTGTCCTACAGGTAGCTCTGCCACATGAGGGGAAGTAATTATGTGCCCAAGGAAGACAGAGAATGCACTCAGAATACATATAAAATGTGAAGGGATTACAAGGCATATTGCTGTGTTAGAACAAGTCTCTGGCAATCTACTCTGTCGCCATGCAGGTGGCCTGGCATGGCCCAGTGGGTTGCAGCAAGGAGACAAAGGGCTTTCACTGCTTTACTTTGGACCCAGAGAAAAAGCAGGCAGGAGAGAGAAGAAAGAGGAAGACGAGGAAACTGAAGGTTTTTTTTTTTTAATGGAAAGTAGCTACAAGTTAAAAGAGTGCTTCAGGAACACAAGGGAAAAGGAAGACGTATACTAGCTTAATTAATAGAATTCAGATGAAAGAAGGGTGAAGTAATTAAATATTCATTATAGATCCTATGAAACTATGATAGA